TGGCTGGTAGTACACTTAATAAGATAATCATACTTTTTCATCTGTTAATGAGTCTTTGGAGTATTCCCAGCGCAGATTTAAGTCTTCATCTTTTTCCCGCTCTTGGTTTAATTTCTGTGGGTTTTTTGGCTTGCATGATGAAACGAGGTGTGCAGCTCCACTGCTGTTTATAATCTGTCTTCCTCATTTGAGCAGGGCTGATCAGAATTTTCTAAAACTGAGAAACATTTATAATTTGGAGGAAAAAAAATGGCTTTGCCCATAAATTGAAACAAAGATACAGGATATTTGCTCTTAGGTAGATGGCAATATTGCTTTTGCATAATCTTGTGGCAGTGTCTGAGCTTTGCCAAAAGAAAGCATATTGCCTACCTTTCTTTCTCTCTCACATATTTCAAAGAAATACATTTCCTCTACCTCCTTCCAAAAGCTAATTAGTATTACAGTCCAATGAAGGAAAATACTGATAATAGTCAGTATCCCGGACTTAATCTTAGCAAGGGAACACACTGACTTGAGTAAAGGGTACTTGCATATTTGCCGTTGATCATAACTACCTTGTAGGTATGTTGAATTGTATTAGAAGTGCTTAGAAATGCTAAGAGGAGAACCATAAAAGAGCAAAGTTGGCATCACATAAATAGAGGTGCTTTGCTTCTCTGTAGAGACGACTATTCCAGTTGTTCCAGTGATGTGTGTATCAAGTTGTCCCACACTCAGCTTTCCTCTACTTCGTGACTACTTGTTTTCACTCCATTTCATTTTTTTCTGGGTTTAGAGGTTCATATTGAAGCCAGTGTGTTTTTGCTCCAGTGGTGCAGATACCAAGGTGGCTACACTGCAGAAACCTATGGGCCATGAGGGATGTGAGGAGGCCACTGGCATCTGAATGCTGGTGCACACAGTCTGCCAGGTGAATTGGCCTGAGAGCTAGGAAATTCCTCCTCCTCCTCCTCTGGAATCTCTTGATGCCATGCAAGAACACCCTACGTTTACACCAACCCATCCTGGAGTACGACGCTTCCCTCTGTTTGCCTGTTGTGCTACTATCACTTGTTAGCTGGACATTTCACAGAAACTGGAGGAGTTATGAGCCTTGCAGAAGCCCAAAGTGAAAGCCATGCAGTGAAATCCCACCCAGTGTTTAAAGCCTGCAGTTAAAAATAAATCAAGAAAGCAAACTCAAGGAGTTAAAGAGAAATGCAATCCGACTGTAATATTAGATTCCAAAGCTATCCAAGAAGCCTGATCTGGTTATTTAAACCATTTTACCTTTTTGGAGATAAAACGAAGCAAATCTTTTCCACAACTTTATATTTTTCCAGCAAAAAGTCAGTGTTTTCTTAAGCATGCATGAGCTTTAGTTTCATGTGAAGAGGTTTCTTCTATCGTGAGAGCAGAACAGCCTTAACCATACCTTGTGATGCTGCTGGAGTGGTTCCACGCAGCTGCCTGAGGCCAGAGGCTCTCCTTGGTCAGTTTTTAATGCTTCACACCAGCTTACTTTACAGCGCACAGTTGTGCTGTGGTGTCCAAGAGCACCCATACACCTCTCACTGCAGTCCATAAGCATTTTGTAGGAGACCTCACCTCTCTTAGATGGTTGGCAGGGCTTCATAGAGGTTAAGCATGCAACAGTCCCTGTGTAGTGCTTGGGAGATGCATCCATCTCCTTACTGATACATCTTAGGGAGCATCATTGGGAACTGCAGGAAATACAAAACAAATGCTACTGTTTGTCAGTATGCACTCCATGTATGAAGCAAACAGCTGGAAGAGATCCCTTCTGCACAGGAGCTGCACGGTACGTTCTGCACCAGTGACATGCAGTAAGCATCACGTGCTTTGGAGCTTAGAACAACCTGCATTACAGAGTATGTTAGTCCAGATTTGATTGCAGAGCTGGGTGATGGTTCTTTGTTCATTCCTTGTGAGGGCTTCTTCAGGAGTGCCTCACTGCCTTGTACCCAATAAGTGCTTCACTTCACCTCAGAAAGCTGCCAGCTTCCAGAGGCCAAAGGAGATCTGCTAACATTCTGGAACTTAGAAAGAAAGGACTGGAAGGAACTAGAATGGAGGAACAGGGCTTTCTGTAGCTTCTTGTCTTTTATCTGGTATTGCAGGCCTGCTGAGTTAGAAACAATTTCCTATTCAGTATGCATGAGGAACTGGGGAAGGGGCATCAGCCACATCTGTCTGTGAGTATCTCGGGGGGGACTGTGTGGTTCCTAAATCTTTCTTCCCCTAAAGCTCCCACTGTAGCTTAAGAGGTTCTCTCATTTCCACTGTGACATGTATAATGTATCCTACATCTGAAAAGTCTTCAACTATGCAAAAAAAGGGAAAAGGGAGCAAGTATTCTAATGGCCAGCAAAGGAAATATAAGGGCACCCTATCCCATGAGGAAGGTGTAGGGTGGTGTAAAGCTGCTCTATCTTATTAGGGGCAGCCTTAAACCATTATCAAAACTTCCAAAGATAGCTTCTGCTGGTAGGCTGGAGAGAGAAAGTATTTTTACATTCACCTTTGCAGAACAGCATTTAAGATATGTGCTCATGTGCTTTTATCTCCAGCTTTGTGCAGGGAGACTTAGAAAAGGAACAGGATTCCAGACCTGAAGTACTGGACTGTCTTCAGGCTCAGCTTGAGGATTGTGTCACGACATCTGTGACTTGTTTCCTTTACAGAAAGGGTTCAGCCTTCTGTCATTATTCAAGTTAAGTCTAAATAACCTAAACGAAGCACAAGGAGAAAAAAAAATGTATATGAAAAGTGAACAGCATCATGGAAGATTTCTTTTATGTACTTGTTTTCCTTAAAGTACTGAGAATGGGTTTGTACTTTAAAAAAAAAAAAAAAAAAAAAAAAAAAAAAAAACAATAAAACGAACAACCCAGGTGAGGTGAAATGATATTAATATGGAGTAATTAAAATTGCGATTGTAGAAGTCAGGTGAAATGAGAAAGAAGCAGAAATGCAGATGAAAAAAGCGGCTACATGTAAAAGAGCATGCCTGGAAATGGAACTGGAAAGAAGGCAGACAGAGATCTCGAGCTGCAGGGACCCATTCAGAGATGCATCCAGCTGCATGTGACCTGAAACCTGTTGTGCTAAGTCTGGACTTCAGCAGCAGGCAAGAGCAAACCCCTTGGACCTCAGCTGCTGCTTCCTTTCATTTTGCCCACGGCAAGGGGGTTGAAACTAGATATCTTTGAGGTCCTTTTCCACCCAGGCCATTCTATGATTCCACTCTATGATCTTATGGCTCAGCTTGATCAGTCACATCTGCATGCTGATGGAATGCCTTGGAAAGAAAGCTGACGTGCCAATGCCTGGCACCTGCTGCATGCTCTGGAGCACTTTTTGCGAGGCCATGGCTGGAAGCGGCTGCACTGAGTTGCACTCATGCTGTGTGCAGTCAGTGTGCTGCTGCAGCTGCAGAGGGGAGGTCTGAACAGCTCATCCTGTGCATCTGTGTTAAGGTTGGGGATGGACAGAATGCCTGTCACAGGGCTGCCAGGTGAGCAACTCGCCAACCTTAAACCTGACGTCATTTGCAGACTCTGTACAGCCTGAAATAGGGAGAGAGAAGCAGAAGTCCAGGGATGTCACAGGGGGTGCCATTTTCTTCTGGCATAGAGAGTGTCTGATGTATTGACCTCAGAAACTCCAACGACAGCCACCTCATTTCAGCAAATGCATCTGGTTGCTGTCCCCAGAGCTGTGTGTGCTGCCCATGGGAACATGGAGGGCACTGAGTATCAGCAAGTCTTCGTTGGCTTTTGTTCTCTAGCACTGTGTATTTTGGAATGAGACATGCAGTTCTAAGCCAGTAGCTGAAGAGATTCAGCAGCATTTGCAGAAGTCCTACAAAGTAAGTTGACAGCCCTGAGCTGAGCTCCTGGTGTGGCTGTGGCAGCCCAGCTCTGTCAGGTCCCTCTGGGCACCCTAAGCTCTCACTGTGCCCCTGTGCTTGGTTTCATAGAATCATAGACTTGTTTGAGTTGGAAGGGACCTTTAAAGGCCATCTGACCCAACTCCCCTGCAATGAACAAGGACACCCACAGCTCCATCAGGTGATCAGAGCCACGTCCAGCCTGACTCTGAACGACTCCAAGGATGGGGCATCCACCACCTTTCTGGGCAACCTGTGCCAGTGCCTCACCGCCCTTATAGTAAAAAAACTCCTAATATTCAGTCTAAATCTTCCCTTTTAGTTTGAAACCATTTCTCCTTGCTTTGTCACCACAGACCCTGTTGAAGAGTCTATCCCCTTCTTTCTTACAACCCCTTTGGACACCTACAGGCCGCTCTCAGCTTTCCCCGCAGCCTTGTCTTCTCCATGCTGCACAGCCCCAGCTCTCAGCCTGTCCTCACAAGGAGGTGTTCCATTCCATCGGTCATTTTTGTGACCGTCCTCTGGATGCAATCCAACAGGTCCGTATCTCTCCTGTACTAAGGATGCAGTACTCCAGGCGAGGGCTCACCAGCGGAGGAGCGGAGGGGCGGGACCCCTCCCTCGCCCTGCTGGCCGCGCCGTTTTTGCTGCAGCCCAGGATAGCGGTTTCCTTCACAAATACCCACTTCTGTCCCATTTCCTTAACATAAGGGAGCGACGGGGATCCCGGGACCCCCATCCCGCACGGCGAGAGCCCCCTCCAGCTGACGGCCCGTGCCCAGAGGCTTTGTGCGGAGCGCTGCGAGAGCCGCGGGATGCTGCGGGCATCGCTGCGCCCGCGGACCGCGTTCCTCCCGGGGGCGAGCGGAGCTTCGCTCGCCCCCGGGAAGGACGCGCTGAGATGTCGGTGCTCCCCGCCGCCGCGCGGCTTCCGTTAGCGGCTGGAGCAGGTGAACGGGGGGGCAGCCGGGCCGCGACGGGGGAAAGGCGGCGGGTTCGGGAGAGACCCGGAGCGCCCGAAAAGCCGCGAGGGGAGGGGAGAGGAGGGCGGAGGGGCGGGGGGGGAGAGGCAGCGGCGGGCGCATGCGCTCTGCTGGGCCGTGCCATATTGGAATGAGGCGGCGAGCGGAGCGCTGGGGAGCCGGAGCCCCGGGAACGGCGGAGGGCTGGAAAAACTCTCCGCAGGTGAGGCGAGGGGCGGCGGCGTCCGCCGGCGGGCAGAGCGGGTCGGCCCGCAGCTGGTGGGGACGTTTTGCCGGCGGAGCGCGGGGCCCGCAGGGTTTTTCCGGGCTCCCGAAGTTTGGATGCGGGGAAAAAAGGCGGCGAGGGAGGAGGAGGAGGGAGGAGAAGGAGAAGGAAAAGGGAGGAGGAGGCGGCGGCAGGAGGCAGGAGGCAGGCGCGGCGGGGAGACGGCAGCGCGGGGGGAGCAGCGCCCCTCCGGTCGCGTCGCGGAGCGATGCGCGGGGCTGCCCGGCGCGCAACTCGGCGCGCTCCCGCTAGGAGCCCCGTCCCGCGGCACGCCCGGCCCCGACTTGCGCTCCCCGCGCCCGCCCCGCCCGAACGGCCTCGCGGGAACTTTGTGCGCCCCGCGCCTCTGCCGCTCCTCGCCCCGCGCCCGCGGGGGGCCCGAGCCCACCGAGCGCCTCGCGCTCGCCCCTCTCCCCTTCAAAATGGCGGTGGAGGGGGACCTTTAAACGCCGCTCCGCGCTTCTCCGCACCCCCGCCCGGCCCGGCCGTGCCCCGGCGCGCGTCCCGCCCGGCGGCCGTCGGCGGGCGGAGCGGCGCGGCCGTTCCCGAGGCCGCTTCCCGCAGCGC